CCTCTGAGTCTATATCCAAAGGAATTGAAAGCTGAGTCTGGAAGAGGTATTTGCATACCCACGTTCACAGCAGCTCTAGTCACAATAGCCAACATGCGGAAGCAACCCAAGTATCCATCGACAGATCAACAAAATGTGGTATATACATAATGGAATATTGTTCAGTCTTAAAAAGGAAGGAGATTCTGACACCTGCCACAACAATCTTGAGGACCTGATGCTAAGTGAAATAAGCTAGTCACAAGAAGACTGATACTGGATGATTCCACATCTATGAGGTACCTAGAATAGGTAAGTTCATGGCGACAGAAAGTAGAATAGTGCTTATCAGGAGTTGTGGGGAGGGGAAATGGGGAGCTATTGTTTAATGGGTACAGTTTTACAAGGTGCAAAAGTTCTAGAGATCTGTGCAATGAGGTGGATACACTTAACACTACTGAAGAGTATACATAAAGATGGTTACGATGGAGAATTTTATATTACATGTATTTTTACCACAAAAAAAATTTTTTTAAAGATTTTATTTATTTATTTGAGAGAGAGAATGAGAGAGAGAGAGCACATGACAGGGGGAGGGTCAGAGGGAGAAGCAGACTCCCTGCCGAGCAGGGAGCCCGATGCGGGACTCGATCCGGGGACTCCAGGATCATGACCTGAGCCAAAGGCAGTGGCTTAACCAACTGAGCCACCCAGGCGCCCCACAAAAAAAATTTTTAATTACAGTCCTTAAAGAGTGAGGGTACAAATAGTTGGGTTTCTCTTTTGCAGTAGGAAAATACAGCTCAGACCTTTGGGAACAATGGAGCGGCGGTGACCACTCCCGAGCTCGCTAGGCGGGCTACAGGGAACACAGTCATTCACTCCCTACTGGCTGTGCATGAAGCCAATGTTCCCGATTGTCCACCCCCTGCAGTGTTCTCATCACTCCTTTGAAGTGTGTTGTTGGCTTAGCTAGAGAGCAGATGATCCGCCTGAAATCACACAGTGCAGGGAAACAACACTCTGAGGTCTGAAACACGCACGTGTAGTGGCCTGGAAGCGGAGTGGGCCGTGTATGTGCGGACAGGCTGCCCACAAAAAAAAAAAAAAAAAAGACTCTGTCGCAAAGAACCAGAAATCACAGGCCACTGTCTTAAGTGGTCTTCTTTTTTCAAGATGCCGGGGGAAAAAAATAATTCCACAAATTAATTCCCTTGGTAGGAACAATGGAGCTGACGTTTCTCTTTCTATTTACGTAAAAAACGCTCGTTCAAAACATGGCCCCATTTTTGTTCTATGCTGGCCCACGGGGGGCACTTGGTCAACCTCTGTTGAGTGAACGAATGGATGGAAGGTCGTGACATGAGCAACCAAAGACGTTTCTCACACAGTTAAATTCCTTGTCTCTCTTCCTGCACCTGCTGAGTTCCTGCAGCCAGAATTCCAAGCACCGAACATCTGATCCTTGACTCCATCCCCAGAGCTTATCTCAGATATGAAAAATGTAAGATGATGAGGATGTTCTAATAAAGTCTACTAGTCAACAGGATGGGACAGCTCGGGGCAACAGCAGAAAAGAGAATGTAGACATAGTTCATATTAACTAGAGTTGTCCAAAGCACTCCAAAGCCAGATAGACACTTACGGCAAGAAGAACCTGGGAGGAACAAGGAATGGATCTATAGCCACACTGGTCTATGACTATTCCTTTTATAGGAGACCCGAGTAAAGATACATTAAAAACACATAGACTTGTTTTCTTTTTCCTCTCAATTTACAAAATCAACTGTTCTGCATTTTGCTCAGCCTTGTTAGAAACTGAACACAATGTACAACACCAGTCTCTCTCCAGGGTTAGCAGGAGGGCACTGTGATAGCCCCAAGCAAGGGCAGTGCGCCAGGCAGAGAGATGAACTTTAATGGGGAGTGTATGCCCAACCTCTGCAGGAGGCTCCCCGGTCCTTATGGACAGGATGGCGTAACCTAGAAAAATAGGAGCTGAAGGCAGAATGGGGGCTTAGGTTCATTCCAGAGATTCGCCCACCCTTCCTGCCCTATCTCCCCACCTGCTCCTCGGCTCCAGGAAAGGGAAGGGAGCGAAGGAATGCAGGTGGCTGGGTGCCCAAGGGAGGCAGACGCCCTGGTCGCAGATACAGCCCCTCGGGAGACGCTCCTTGGCGCTGTTCTAAGCAGACTTGGCACCAGAAGGACTCGACTGGCTGGTTCGGCACCAGCAGTGGGCTGTAAAGTGGCAAATACGGCTTTGGGGCTCCCATTGTCACCACAGATGGAGCCCCTGGAGGCCTAACAGGGGTCAGCAGAACACGCTATGTGCTGACATGTGACGGCTCCCCAGCCCCACAGCCCAGGACAGCGTGAGGTGCAGGAGCTCATGATTTGGGTTTTTAATTAGGTTCCGTTTCCAGGTCTCCACGGAGGGGGGAAAAAAAAAACAATTCTAAATTCTTATAAACAAAACTTCTGAGCTATAAAAATAACATGAAAACATTCTTACTGAGAGTATTCACTTTAAAAAAAAGAATGTGTTGTGAAAATGATTCACTCCTGCTCCCAGTCGGTAAAACTATATTTACATATGATCAGGAATCTCATAAAGCCGATTTTGATGTGGATGTGGCCTCAGCCCATTGAGTCTAACCTACCCAGCATGCATGTCCAGCATGAGCAGCGGAAACCGGGGGACTGTCTCTGCCGGGTGATAACATCTATAACACACAGCAGTGGTTCTCAATGTCGGGAGATTTGGCCCCCTTGGGGACATCTGGCAGACTCTGGAGACCTCACAACTCAAGAGGGGGGTCATGGGAGGGGAGAGAGTGCTACTAGTCTCTAGTGGGTTGAGGCCAGAAATGTAGCTCATGCACAGGACAGACCTCCCCTCCAGCCCCCCAACAAGGAATTATCCAGTCCAAAATGAAACAGCGCTTGTACCGGGCTTCCTGTACGCCGATTCTGTTTCAACTATTTTATAAGCATCAATTCATTTAAGCCGACACTAGGAGAGTGGCACCATTCCCATTCCCATTGCACAGATGAGGAAACGGGCTCGGGGAAATGGAGTAACTTGCCCAAGCCCACGTGGCTAGTAAGTGCTAAGCTAAAATTGGAGACAGGCCGCCTGGCTGCAGAGGTTATGCTGTCCCCGAGTCCACAGGCTTCCTGCTCCTCGGCCTCCTTGCCTGCATGCAAGCGGTCCCACGGCCTTGAGAGCCAACCTCTTTACACCCCATAGCTCTGTCCCCACCACCCTGTCCCATTCAGGCCTGCATCCTTGGCCTGGACCATGGACCGCCAAGGACCCACTGCTTTCCCCGCACACCCCTCTGTTCACCTCCCCCCAACCTCCTGCTGCTGCCAGAGTAACCTCGAAACCCAAGTCTGATTGCACCTCCGCCCGCTGCTTAAAACCCTTCCACAGGCCCCTGTCACCTACAAGGTGAAGCCCAAACTCTCAAGATGCTGTCGGAACGGTAGTCAGAATCACACCCTCCGGGACTTCTCCTGCCTCCCAAACGCCTTGCACATCATTTCAAAGGTGGTGCTGCTCCCATATCTCCGCCTCTACTCTGCCTCCGATACCTAGATACCCACGGACCCCTCAGGAATCAGTCCCAGTGTCACCTCTTCCAGGAAGCCTTCCCTGACCACTCCCTTCCTTGTGACTCTACCACTTACTCCCACCACTTTTATTAAAAATGCATCACCAGGGGCTCCTGGGTGGCCCAGTCAGTTGCACATCCAACTCTTGGTTTCGGCTCAGGTCGTGATCTCGGGGTCATGAGATTGAGCCCCGTGTTGGGCTCCACAGGCTCAGCACGGGGTCTGCTTGAGATTCTTTCCCCCTTCTTCTCCCTCCCCCCACTCACACTCCCTCTCTCAAATAAATAAATAAATAAATAATAAAATCTTTTTAAAAAATGCATCACCATTTTTCTTTGTTTTCAAGTCTGTCCCTTAAGGGCAGGGACCTTGTGTTATTTTACTTATCTCTAAAGTCTAGCCAAGTAACAGAGCAGACACTCAGCAAGTACCAAATGAATGAAAGAGGAAATATCTGGTATGGTTCGGATTCTTTCAGGCCAGAATAGATTCCCTTTGCCCCGTCTGCAGTGGGGAATCTCTTCCGTTGAACACTGACATTCTTAGGAAGTCCTTACGTGAAGCAGAAGTCCGTTTCTGCGCTTCCTTGGCTCAAGGTTCTGGTTGGATGCCCAGCAACACCATGGGTTGCCTCTCACCACTAGGAGTTATCATCACCCCTCTCTGTATCCCCTTGCTCGGGCTGAACACCTCCAGCTCCCCTCCTCTTCCTAACAGACGTCATTTCAAGATCCCCTGTGGCCCTATAGCATCCACTTCATTACTAAGCCAACCCAAACTGTGATGGGCCTAAGCAGAAGCCGGCCACATTCGGGAAGTATAGACAGATTCCCGAGATGCCGTTTGCAGTGTGTACTTCAAGTCCAGGACCTCAAGTTCAAGGGCCTAAGGGCCCAGGCAGGTAAGCTCCAGGAAAGAAGTAGGCAGGAGGTGCTGGGATGGGGGGACGGGGTGGGACGGTGGATAGACAGAACACACCTGTGACAACTCTCAATTCCAGAACCACTACTAATGTAGGAATGGAGGCCCGGCATTACCAGATCTTTGGAGTTTTCAAGAAAAGCTAAACATTTGCATTTTTGTGCCAGTTTTTAGATACCAGCAACTAATAAAAAAATTTTTTTGATAATAATGTACATGCCAAACCAATCATTTGTGGCCTTGGCTTTAAAAGAATGGCTGGAGTGATTCCTAAATTTGTTTTTGCATTTGGTGTCGGGAATGTGCACAGATACACAGAGAGTTGTGGCCATACAAGGGCAGAATTTAAATGTGCAGTTAACCTAGGACACTAGGGTGAAAAGTCACTTTGAGGTGTATGTGACTAAGAGGGGGAGCAGAACTGGAAAAGAGGGGGCCTTCCTAACCAGTGTCCAAACGTGAGACAAAGACACAGTTACCTGCCGACAAGCCCATCTCCAGCAAGGTCTGGAACAAGCTGGGGTGCCGGTCTCTCAGCTCCTTCTCCCAGGGGAAGGCTCTGCACGTGGAGGGTCTCCCGTACCTGAGCTTCAGGTCCAGGTAGGAGTTCCGGAGGTCACCTACAGGCCAAGGGAAGCACAAGACAGCCATCACCTTAGGAGAGGGCAGGTCTCATTCTTCTAAATCCCTCCTCCCTAAGAGGAAGTAGAAATAAAAGGTCAGACTTAATGTTACTGAATGTTGGTTTGGGTCCATTAGGGATTTGAAATCGGCTCCGATACGTCTGCCTCGAGGTCACAAATTCAAAGCCATGTCCAAGGGAAATGTGCCAAAGTTGCTGATGGCTGGGGAATAATTCTACAGAATGAGCAGCTGGCCTCGGACTGTTCCCCAGGAGGCCAATATCTAGGCCATTTTGTTGGTAGTGTGAGTTGAGGAGCAAAGCACAAGGACCCCCAGTGAGGCAAGGCAGTGGGTGTTAGGAAAACCTTCCCATGCCACCAAACAGATCAGCATACAAGGATGGGCTTCCAACTCAGAGGATCTCTCGTGAAATTACATCAGTTATCAAAATCAGTTTCTTTCCTGTTTGGGATATTACTATTCCTATATATCCTCCCCCTCTTCTGACAGCATCGTATTTTCTGGATGAGTCAGCTGTACCCGCAGCAGCTGGGGACCAGGATTGCCTGTTCTTAAATTACATTGCAAAAACACTGCATCTCCAGGCTTACCTATCACTGTCTACTCACTTCCTGAGACCGTGCTCTGTGGACCCTACCGGACTGAGGTATGTTCCAGAGGCACCCATCCCTGCACAGCATGGAATGGGGAGGTTCAGCTCTGGAGAGAGTGCAATGTGTGGGCAGGACTGCCATACTCAATTCGCTTCTGCGGATGGCAAAGGCCCCACAGGAATTTCTCTTCCAGAAGGAACATATGTGACTAACTCTAGTGCCGCCGTATCCAGCAAGAAGACCTAAGCACAGAGAAATTTACAAGCGCTAGATCCAAGCCAGAATACTGGAAGACAGGCCAGGAACCGATTTTTATAATCAATGAACACCCTGTATGAGTGAAGGATGCCCGGGCAAATATGAGCAGGCCTGAAAGCAGTCTATTTTGAAATTCATTCCTTCTGCTGGCTATTACTGGGGTCTTCCAGAAAGAATCAATTTCAAGGGATTAAAAAAATAAAACCAAGCCCCAAACAACAAAGTCACTGTTCTACATTTCTGAAAGCTAATATGCAGATACTAATGGTCCAAGACAAAAGTGCACCGATGGGGAAACATTTCTAATGATTAATTTATTTTCCAATTCACTTTTATTTTCTTAGACTGGCCTAAGATCCCATTATGGACGGGAAGAATGCAACGCAAGGCTCAGCACGCTCTCATTTGTATTCTTAAAGGGAATCGCGTATGGTTGAAGCTAAGAAGCAGGTGTGGGGTTCCTGTTGGCCGTTGGTCTGGTTGGAATCCAGGTGGCACGAACACGGCCATCCGCCTCCATCTGTGGAGGGCTCCAGGTCATATCTGTTCCCGCTGCTCAAGTCATATATATTCTATTTTAACCGTGTTAGAAAGAAGCCAAACATGTTGACACAAATACACAGAGCTAAAAATTGCCCTGCCGGAGCTCAGTACTTACATGCTTCCTGTCGCCCGCCCCCTTGCTGTACCGTGGACGTGTGCACAAACACTATTTCTTGGACCTCAGCACAGCTCTCATAATATAATTTGAGCTGTTCAGCAAGTTGCTTCTCAAGGAGGGGATTACCAATCTACAAGAAGGCAAGAAAATTGAATGAACAACAATTGTCATCAAGCTCCCACTGATACCTCTGAAGCTGTGTTCGGGTTGGTTTCCTTCTCCCATTGGTATCACCAGCTGGCTCGTCTGCACACAGACCATCCACTCCGGATTAGCCACGGGAGGGTATAATTCAAGGGCACACAAACTCTGTCTGGTTCCCACTCACTGCTTTCCGTGGCACCTTCTCTGCAAAAGCTTCTTAAATGTCCGGATTTCCCAGAGACCAGGCCTCCACCCTCTTCTTTCCCCTCACCGCGTGCTGTCCCTGGACAATGACGTTCATCTCTCCTTCAGTCCCCGAGAGATGCCAAGTGCCAAGTGTCCCTGTGCTGTGCTGAGCCCTGCGAACCCTCCTCCCACTTTTGTCTGCTTGGCAGGCTCCTACTCGACCTCCAAGAGTCAGGTCCAAGGTCATTGCTTCAGGGCAGCTTCCTTAACAGCCGCCCCTCCCGTGTGTGTGGATGCAGATGTTCCCACCTCAGCGACCCCAAAACACTCGCATGTGAATTAACACATGTACCACGTTCCTTCATGTGTTCGGTGTTTAAGCCCCAGACGGGGAGCTTCGCGAAAACAGAGGCCTTATCTCAACTCGTTGGTTTTCAAAATGCAGGTTGTGACCCATTAGAGGGTCAAGAAATTATTTCAGCAGGTTGTAACCAGCACTGATTTATATATATATAAATATATCTATAAAATAGAACACAAAATAGCAGAGTGCACCTAACATGGGAAGGGCCTTATTCTTAGTAAAATCTTTGTTTTGGTTTCGTATTTTATACATATATATAATATATACGTGTATGTGTATACGAGTGTGCATGTATACGTGTGCTCATGATGTTACATAGATTTCTTCTTTTCTTCCCTTTCTTCATCACATAGATTTCTGATGTGAATCACCTTCAAAAAACAGTTTGAGAGTGGCCATCTTCATCATCGTGGACACCTCAGCACCAGCACAGAGCCTGGCACATAGCTGGTGCTCTGGAAGTATTTGTTGCAAAAGGAATACATTAATTTCTTTGTTTTCTTCTTCATAGAGGTCTCTCTGTAGGGGCTCTGAGATGGACCCATGGATAGTAGGGCTCTGCATTGTTCTTCCTTTACTTTGCCTAATGACTCCTGCTTTCCCCAGAACAAATCCCGCAGGGTCACGGGAATGCACTAAGATTCCTTGTTCAGGTATCTGGTGATCTCCTTACCAAGGCAGAAAAAGACACCTCTGTAAAGGTGGACAGTCCCTGTCTCCCTGCAGCAGCCCGGGGGCAGCTGGCCTGGAGAGCTGGACAAGCCCATCTGTAGGTAGGTTTTGGAGGCGAGGGTCACGGTGTAGTAGGTTCAGTCCTCCACAATGTCTACAAGTCCAGCCAGCCCACCCCAGTGGGAGCCCAAGGCCTGCGTGTCTGAAGAGAGCAGCGAACAGAACCAAGATTTTCATTTGCTAGAGTGTCTCCTCTTCAGATACTTTAAATAATAGCACATAAAAGAAGCTCTATCAAATAACTAAGATTCTCTCCTTTCATTAGCTTAATCACTGGATAGGCAACCACCTGATAAAAATCTACTCTATAATTAAGCTAGTAGTTATTAAAACAGAGGAAGTAAATGGTTTCCATTTTGTGAGTACTAAATGAACCAAACCTTAACAGAAATCTATTCTCGAGTTTGCTGGGGGAAAAGCCTCCATATTAATTACATTTGATGACAGAGCCAACGCGAGGTCCAGCGTGGGTAAATCTTTTGCTTACAAGAGGTTCCACATGCTGGAGTCACACATCCAACACGCATGAACACCCTGTAGCTTCTCCATGCCCGCAGCTCACCTGTGCAGGACGCAGAGTGTGGAGACGATGATACTTCAGGGGTCCGAAAAACCCTTCAATGCCGGCCACGTACCTGCTCCCTCCAATAAGGAAGTATCCAGCAGTGTCATTATAATAGAAATCCTCTCTGAAGCTACAGAAGAATAAAGAGTTAAGAGAGCTCTTGGTCTGAACCAGATCTTTAAAAAAAGAGGTTCTTTCATTGACCCTCCTTTCTTACACCCCCAAATTTCTTCAGTCCTTCACACTGAGTTCTAACAGATAACACCATGGTGGGGTCAGACACACTTGGGCTAGGATCCCAACTCTGCTATTTTCCAGCTGTGCAACCTTGGACCTGTCCCTTACCTTCTCTGAGACTGAGTTTTCTCATTAGCAAATTAGTTCCTCAATAATTAGATTCTTAGGAGGATTCGTGAAATGTAAAGCCTTACGCCCAGCAGAGTGCCTGGCCTCGTAAATCCTCGGTACCTGCCGGCTTTTGATATTGGTATAATTGTTTGGAATTGGAAACCTTTGGAATCACTAGTCTTAATTGGAAATGTTTTGCTCTAAAAGAAAAAAAAAAACCACCTTGTTGAATGGATACATTGACTGGATAGAAGGTGGCTGCGAAGGAAAACTAAGAACATATCCTATTAGATAAGAACCAAGGGATAATTCGGAGTGAGGAGGAAGAGGCTGAACTCCAGAGCCTTGTACTGAAAGACTTGAAGGAACAGGAAGGAAAATGGAGGGAAAAATGGGCCACCACGAATAAAATGCACAAAGTTATTCCTTTCTGCATTGTTTATACTCACCAAAGACTGGACAACCCCAGGCGTCTGTCAGGGAGGACCGGCCCAAAGCCATCCAATGGACCTTAAATGTGAGCCTTTTATTCATATATAGCTTAAAAAAGGAACAGAGGGCTCTGTGTACTGACCTGGAGAGATCTCTAATATATTAAGTGAAAAAAGGAAAACAAAAGTGGAACGAAGAGCATATACTTTTTATCCAAGAAAGAGGAAAATGGATTTTTTTTTTGTATTTGCATTTTAAAAACTCTAAGTATATACTGCAAGAAATTAATAATAGTATTTCCCCAGGGCATGGAGGGTAGGGGATGGAGTGGACAGGGGCAGAGGTAGGAGCAAGACATCTAACTGTACATCTTTTCATATAGTTTTGATTTTTTTAAACAGGCATATTTATTGCCTATTTAAAAACTAAAATAAGATAGGTGAACAAGGTGGGATCAGAGCCTACGAAGACAGCAGGTTGGAGGGAGGGGGTCAAGACAAGCATCAAGTGAGAAGCCAGACAAAGAGGAAAGAGTCAGGGAAGGCAGAGGGCAGATGGAAGCAGACGGAAAGAAAACAAAATGTCAGGCAAGCCTCCAGGAGCCCAGCAAGTCGCGAAAGCAATGGGCCAGGGTGATGCCGACAGGGACAGGGCAAGATACCAGCAGTTAGACCAGAGAAGCCAAGCAACCTGGAGTTATCCCAAGAGAGGGGATGTACTGACTGTTACCAAGGAACCCGAACCCTAGCAGGTGCACCTGGTTGGAGAGGAAGATGAAAGGGAGAAGGAATGAGACTCTGACAACATCAACAGACGGCAGCAGAAGTGAACGCTTAGAAATTAGCTTTACACGAATGCGGCTAAAATGGAAAAGGAGTGCTTCTTCTCCTGATATTTTTCTTTTCAGGATCTCAGGCTTGATGGTCCTTCCCTTTATTTTCCACTGGGACCACAAAGTTATTATCTCTGAGAGCTGTGAATTGATTTTGTTTTTCAAGACCGTAGAAAGACTTAACATTCCAGCCACCCTCATGACGACGTAATACCTGGCACTTGAGGGATACAAAACTTCTACAATAGAAGCTCTCTTAATGGAACTCGGCTCAACCAACTTACCAGCGCACCTGCTGGCTATCCCTGCAACGTGTTGGATGCTCGCTGGCTGGCGCCTACTCTCTGGATCCTTAGTCTTCTCATTGTTTAAATAGAGATGATAACAGTATGTACCGACTGGGCTGTTGTGAGGATTAAATAAACTAATATTTAAACAGGGCATTTAGGGCGCCTGGGTGGCTCAGTTGGTTGAGCGACTGCCTTCGGCTCAGGTGATGATCCTGGAGTCCCGGGATTGAGTCCCACGTCGGGCTCCCTGCTCGGCAGGGAGTCTGCTTCTCCCTCTGACCCTCCTCCCTCTCATGCTCTCTGTCTCTCATTCTCTCTTTCTCAAATAAATAAATAAAATCTTGAAAAAAAAGACAAAAGAAAAAAAACAAACAGGGCATTCAGAACAGTGCCTGGCACATAGTTGGCACCATAACTGTTAACTACGGCTGTACTTATTAACCTAATCCGCTGCGGGACTGCATGCTAAGTAAGAATAAGAAGTATCTGTTCCCAAACCTGGCAGTGCCAACTGTACGGTCATTGCGATTATACAATTCAATGAACTATTATGTCATTCAATAAAATATGGATCGGGAAGAAAGCATTGTTCATTCTGTAACAATTAAGTTGAATATTTTGGGTTGACTCAGAAAAGAACGGTTGCTTAAAAAGTGTGGAATTAGGACAACGGTAGAAGATTCAAAAAAAAAAGGAAGAGATCTAGACATATCTTGGCTTTGATAGTTTCACAAGGGTCTTTGTTTTCTTTCCATTTCTAAGAAACAAGAATTGGGTGCTGTTTATGCAAGAAAGACCACAGGGAAGTCCAATCGGTAGATTCGGAACAAAGGAAAGGCCCTATCTGGAAAGATTGGTAGATGAATGTACTTTTCTGTGTTTTAATTAAAATAAAATATTTATGGTAAGTATCTTTTTAAATGGATCTTTGCTTTAACTGAATTTTTCAACTAATCATTAAATTACTTGGTCCCTATGGTACTGGATTGTAATTTTTGGTTTTTTTTTTTATCATTATCATAATATAACTGCAACATTGTGGTTTATAAGCAATATATATTTGGGGGCACGTGGGCAGCTCAGTTGGTTAAACGTCCGACTCTTGATTTTGGCTCAGGTCACGATCTCGGGGTTGTGAGACTGAGCCCTGCATCGGGCTCTCCACTCAGTGTGAAGCCTGCTTCAGATTCTCTCTCTCTCTCTCCCCCTCTGCCCCTCCCTCCACGCATTCGTACATGTGTGCTTCCCCCCTTCTAAAATAAATAAATCTTAAAAAAAAAAAAAGATGGGGCGTGGGTGGCTCAGTCGTTGAGCATTTGCCTTCAGCTCAGGTCACGATCCCAGGGTCCTGGGATCGAGCCCCACATCGGGCTCTCTGTTCAGCAGAAAGCCTGCTTCTCCCTCTCCCACACCCCCTGCTTGTGTTCCCTCTCTTGCTTTCTCTCTCTCTGTGTCAAATAAATAAATAGAAGCTTAAAAAAAAAAAAAAAAGGAATATGTATTTGGTCTTTGTCCACAGTTCCTGGCTCACAATGCTTCCCAAACCCTTGGGACCTCCTAAGTGTTGAAAGTAGTAAAGATGTCTTTTGTTATATCGAAGAAGGTGACTCCACCCAAAGGCGGAGCCTGGTTCCCAGGTGGACCAACAATGTAACTAGAGGATTGAAACTTTTAGTTCTACTCCCCAACCTCCAGGGAGGGGAGAAGGGCTGCAGGTTGAATCAGCCAATGGCCGATGTCTTAGTCAACCATGACTGTGTAATGATGCCTCCATAAAAACCCTAAAGGAGGGGCGCCTGGGTGGCTCAGTCGTTAAGCGTCTGCCTTCGGCTCAGGTCATGGTCCCAGGGTCCTGGGATCGAGCCCCGCATTGGGCTCCCCGCTCCACGGGAAGCCTGCTTCTCCCTCTCCCACTCCCCCTGCTTGTGTTCCCTCTCTCGCTGTATCTCTCTCTGTCAAATAAATAAAATCTTAAAAAAAAAAAAAAAAACCTAAAGGACTGGCACGTCTGGGTGGGTCAGTAGGTTGAGCATCTGCTTTCTGCTCAGGTCATCATCCCAGGGTCCTGGGATCGAGTCCCCCATCAGGCTCCTTGCTCAGCGGAGAGCCTGCTTCTCCCTTTGCCTGCCACTCCCTCCGCTTGTGCTCTCTCTCTCTGACAAATAAATAAAATAAAATCTTAAAAAGAAAAACAACCTTAAAGGACTGGGGGAGAGCCTCAAGGTTGGTGACCACATGGAGGCTGGGGAGAGTGGCACACCTGGAGAGGGCATGGGAGCTCTGTGCCCTTTTCCCAGCTGTCACCCCATGTCTCCTCACCTGGCTGTTGATTACTATCCTATATCAGATCCTTTAATAAACAGGTATATGTAAGTAAGTACTTCCCTGAGTTCTGGGAGCTACTCTAGCAAATCGAAAGAACCTAAGGAGGAGGTCCCTGGAACCTCTAATCTCCAGTCTGGGGCTTGCCACTGGTGTCTGAAATGGGGGTGGGGGTCATCTTTTAGGACTGACCCTTCCCCTGTGGCATCTGATACTATCTCTGGGAAGATAGTGGTGGAGTGGAGTTGAATTCTTGGACACCCTGCTGGTGTCTCAGAATTGGTTGGTGTGGGTAGGAGGGAAGCCCTCCCCCATCTTGGAATTGGGTCTGGGAACCCAAAAGGAACAGCTAAGTAGGAAATCTTCCCAGCCTGCTCTCCAACCACCTCAGAGCCTCTACATTTTTCTCCTCTTAAATCCCCTCCGTGGCTGCACAAAGATTGCAAGCGCTTCCTTGTACTGTGTGTGCCTTGTTTGATGGTCATCAATTTCACGGACATAAAAGCTGAGCTAGACAGTTCCAAAGCCTAGGCCGTCACTTTTGGAAACCTCAGACACACTGGCAAACTATCTTTACTCTTATCTGGACATAGGAGACCGCCTCGGTTTATAACTGCCAAGCTCCGGCAGCCCGAACAAATCTCCGGCGCCGTTAAATAAATCTCACTCAGAATTAGAAAACAGCCCCAGCTCGACAGTTCTTTAGTAGGGAAACTTAGAGCTTCAAATTAGCCATCCCTCTCCCCGCTTAGAGTAATTATCATCTCAAATGTCCCTTCTTTGGGACCTGCTGAAAATTCTGACCCCCTTGAGTATCCTCTGAAACTATCCTATTCGATTCCTTTCCAGAATTCACAATTTGTAATTTTATATTTATGAATTTAAGATCTGTCTCCCCCACTGATCTTCCTTCCTTCCTTCCTTCCTTCCTTCCTTCCTTCCTTCCTTCCTTCCTTCCTTCCTTCCTTCCTTCCTTCCTTCCTTCCTTTCTTTCTTTCTTTCTTTCTTTCTTTCTTTCTTTCTTTCTTTCTTTCTTTCTTTCTTTCTTTCTTTCTTTCTTTCTTTCTCTCTTTCTTTCTTTCTTCTCCCTGAAGGTAGGGACTGACTGTATTCTCTTCGTTCATCATTTTATTCCCAGAATCCGGCACTGTGTCAGGTGCATGGTAGAGGTGTTGGATGAATGGGTGTATATTGGATAAATGAATGAAGGCTAAACACTGTACAGGCCTGAAGTTGTTACCTGTCACCCAGGGTCACTGACAGCCTTTCATCTGTGTGGAGCACTGCACTTCTGAGCACTTAATTACTGATCTTTCCACACTACCTTGATGGGACAGCATTATGTTTACATGACAAGGAGTAAAAAAGAATGCCTATAACCATCTGAAATATCTGGTGTTTAGTTCACTGGGTTGGCCCACTCTAAGATCTCTCTGATGGATGAGATTCCAAATATCTAACCACAGGAATCCCAGGTAAGCCCGACATTAAATCTTCAGTTCTTCTATTGATGGGTGAGGTCCCCGGAGTACAGGAACGGCAGCTGAGGAGGTGGCCAGGGACACTCCTGGGTCTGGGGACTGCCTCTATTACCAGGTCAGGGACCATTTCAGTGTTTGTTTGTTTGTTTTTAAGATTTTATTTATTTATTTGACAGAGAGAGACACAGCGAGAGAAAGAACACAAGGAGTGGGAGAGGGAGATGCGGGTTTCCCGCGGAGCAGGGAGCCGATGCAGGGCTTGATCCCAGAACCCCGGGACTGTGACTTGAGCCAAAGGCAGACGCTTAATGACTGAGCCACCCAGGTGCCCCCATTTCAATGTTTTATGTGGAATGTCGAATCGGTCTGTACCTGAAAATCCTCCTTTACGGAATCTTATATGATCACGCAGATTCTGTATTTACTTAAAACTTTTATTTTTTGTTCATTGTATATTCCTTACATTAATTTTTATTTCTTACAATATTATATTAAATGTCATTTATCATGATTACTGTTAGGAGTTAAATTGTGTCATTCCCCCCACCGCAGATTCATACGTTGAAGTCTGAACGCCCAGACTTTCAGAATGTGACCTTATTTGGAAAGAGGGCCATTGCAGATGTAATTAGTTGAGATGAGGCCATACTAGCAGAATGGGCCCTCAATCCAGTATGACTGATGTCCTCGCAGAAGGGGAAATATGAAGGACACACACAGTAACAGGGAAAATGCCGCGAAGACTGGGACCCTGCCACTACAATCCCGAAGCTGTCAGAAGCTGGAGAGAGGCCTGGCAGGCTCAGAGCCTAGACCAGCTCTTTCCCCAGACCTTTCAGAGAAAGCACGGCCTTGCTGACACTTGACCTTGGACCTCTAGCTTCTAGAAATATAAGACAATAATTTTCAGTTGTTTAAGCCACTCAGCTTGGGCTGCTTTGTTCCAGCAACACTAGCAAACTAATACAATTACTGAGTTTTTTGGCACCTCCTTAAATTTTATGTGGAAGGCATAGGTCTCTCTGCATCCCAGGCGCAGGCCTGGATCACCCTGTGATCTCTCCATCTGCAATTCACTCGTGCCAGCATCTAGGTCACTGGGATGTATGGTGAAAGGAAGCTTTTACACAGAGAATGAAAAAAGCCTATGAAAGCAATCTTTTGTCAAAAACGTCCTGGGCTCGGGGTTGGGCATCCGGAGAGAAAGGAGAAGGTATTATTCCAGACTTCGCATCCCCAAAACGCAAACCCTCGATCTCTGGGGCCCACTGTGCAGAGCGGGGCCCCGGACAAGGCTCCCAAAGGAGCCACACGTCATCGGTTTCTCCAAGCTCCCAGGGCTCTCTTATTCATGAACTCTGTTCTACAACAAAACTCATGTCTGTTGAACGCTTTCTGACTGGTCTAAGTCCACGTGGCCCCCTTTCAGACTTCCCCTCTGTTCTCAGGCCTCAGCCTCTCTGTTCCCATACAGCTGTTAACATCACCCCTGACCTTCTCTTTGCAGGCTAAAGAATAACACCTCTTTAGCCTTTCCTTATAACTGTAATCATTTAATCCGGCCCTGAAAATAAGAATTGTTCTGTGTCCAGAGCCTGAAGGCCAGCAGTTTGACTTAAATGTAAACTGAATGGTGGGAGGAGAGGGTCTGGGGTGGGGGGGAGAGAGAAAAGCAGGGTGTATGCCCTGCTCCGTTCCCTAGTCTCTATCTCTCCTGGTGTTCCTTTCTTCAATAATTGGTTTCCAAGAAAATCTGGCTTGTGTGAGGAGTCTGAGTGAACGAGCCTGTTCGGAGACACAGTTTCCTGCTTGCTGTAGTAAAGTAGCTCCATGAGCCCCCCGCCCCCAGCCAAAGTGCCTGATACATTTTTTTAAATTATCCAGACAAAGCTGGTACGTGTGTATTATACATGCATACATAAATTATACATATAAAGCTGGTAGTTTTTGTTTCTGTTTTTTTACATTTATTCTTAAGCATTTGAGTGTGTGTGTGTGTGTGTGTGTGTATATATATATATATATATATATTATCTAGCCATGTTGAGGTATTCTGAGTTCCCAAAGGAGACTGCCCCACGGTTCTGCCCCTAGAAATCCCGCTATTAGACAGGGGTGTAGGGGCAAACGTAAAAATTATGAAACACAAGGCAAAGGACCCAGTTCTCAGTTTCTGTAACTCTCGTGGAGAATGGTTACATGAGGATGAAAAGTTACACCAACGGCAATAGTTGCGTTCATTTCAAATTTAGATTATAAACATAAATATGAAGACTGTCTGCTTTTATGTTTTATACTAGGCCAAAGTTACCAACCATTCTCAATAAGCAACATTAATATGTTGATTTGTTTTTCAGAATCCTTCATAGAAGATAATTTTCAAAGAAAATGAATTATCAAGTGCCATGAAAGGAAGGATTTACAATGAGATCTGGAGAGAGGAATAGTTTCTCTTCTTAGAAAAAAATGTTGTGGGGGAAGAGAGGGGAGTTTGCGGATGGAAAACAAAAAAATTGCGAAGACTGGGCTTTAGGGCAGACCAGACACAGTCCATGCTCAAAAGCTGAATAAGGGGGTGTGGGAAGAACATTAGGGTTGAGGGCTAACGTATGACGATTTCTTAATCCTTATCCAACATCATGTTGAATAAAAAGAAAATACCACACTTACCTAATGGTCTGATTATGGTAGCTTTTCAAATCCTGTCCAATGCTGGTGGTGACTACGATCTGTGTGGGAGAAATACACAAGATCAATTATGCCCCAACACCTCACATCATAAATACAGTCCTAGGTATAAATTACTCATAAAATGGGCTGCGTAGCCTCTCACCTGATCCATTTCTGCAGAAATAGAAGTAATACTTTACTAGCCCTGTGTATATTTTAAGATTAAAGGAATTTAATTTCTCCAAATGACTTCACATGGTAACCATAGCCATCATGCAGTTTCCCCCAGTGGGGTTCAGATATTTCCAAGCTATAAGCCACAGCTTTGCTTGGTGTACTTGTGCTAAAAATTCTGTTGCATAGGAAGAGAAGGAAATGCATAAGATACTATAAGAGGTTTATGAAATTTTACTTTGATTCCATGAGAGCCTTCGGGGGAGAAACAAGTTGGTGCTGAGCGTTCTCCACGCATTGCTGCTCCCCACTCTCTTTCCCTAAGCATGGAGAATCATCATTGTCTTTTCAACAGGGACAATGTTTTTGTTGATCATGTTGTTAGCTGTCACGCATTCTTCTCGTGTCTTGGAGGGCTACTACAACGTAAGCCCCTGGAGCTAAGGGGCTCCTTCTCCCCCCACCCCCCACCCCCAGTGCTAGCACTGAGCAAGGGTTTAGAAAATACGTGCTGAGCTAACGAGGGTCTCAAAGGTGTGGCTACAACACTGTCTATGAGAGGCAAACTAACACAAAAACCAACCCAATTCATCCGTATGCAACATGTTGGCTTAGAGAAGAAAATGACTCCAATCAGTTGTTTCTCTAAACCAGCCACTGGCTTTAAGTCACTTGTCCATTTAGTCAAAGCAGTGAGTATGGTAGTCCCACCACAGAGGCGGATGTCATGTGGAAAAACAATAATACGGTTTTAGGGACCTATAGATATATTAGGAAGACGAGATAGGATGGAAAGAAAGTAGGACAAAAGGGAAAAGTCTACCAAACAACAACAACAACAACAACAACAACAAAAACCCAACCCTACTTCTTTTTTCTTTCCATCCAATCTGGTCTTTTTAATTCTTACCCCAACGTACTCTGCTAAATTAAATTCATCTCCTTAATTAAAGGACTACTTTGATTAACTCTGTTCCGGCTCGAAAATCTTCCATGACACCCTGCCACCTTGCAAATAGAAATCCAGAGTCCTTGATAGTCAAGATTGTCCACATGCTACCCCTAAAGACATTTTGTTTCTTCTATTAGTTTTCTACAGTCTGCAAATTTCCACTCCAACCTGGTTTATCTGCTAACCTCCAGTGATGTGCTAAAATGTTCCCTCGTCTCCTCTCCATCTCAATTCCACCCAATCCGTAGGAACCTTCCCTGTGAAACCTTCCCCGAGCATCCCAGCATGAAGTGCTACCTCTCTTCCCCGAGTCAATATGAATCATTTGGTAATTAAGCTCTCCTTATGACATCCTGTCACCTGCGTAATGCTTCTCCCATAAATAGTCGATAACCTCCGTGAGCAAAGAGCCTTGCATACATAAGGTGCAAAATAAATCTGTGATTTGCTCTGATGGTTTGATACCCGCTTAAGTGACACAGGGTACTGAGCTGACCTTCACCTTCACCTCAGGAGCAAGCAGCAACCAAGCTGCAATGCCATAATAATCCCTATATAAGTGGGAAGCTGGACAACAGACCACAGCTAGGTCACCTCACGTTGTTAAGGAAACCAACAAACATACAAAAAAATCCCAGCTAATCTTTTACAGACTCTTCTTAGGGAGGCAACAAGGACTGACCTAATTTCTTTTCTCTCCAGGAAAAGGAAATGTGATAAACATAAACACCAAGGGAAGCCTGTGTCTTATCTAATACATAAGACAAACAACAGGTCTCTCCCACTTTCGTTACCGGAAAATCACAAATCAATAAGAAAAGCTGATGAGGAAGTAAAGTAACAAGAAAAAACGTAGCACGTCAGCATCAAATACATCAAGAAATGGAATGGTCTTCAATTATAACAACAGATTTGCCATAATCCATAAAATCTGCGTTATGAGAGTTTGAAGCAGTTATGTGCTGTGTTTTATAGTACAAAGCAGATAAATCCCCTCTGTCCCACCAGAATGATCACTTAGGTTTGTTGGTTATTAGTTGCTTAATGCCAAACGTCAGCAATTGTGTAACTGCCAAGAACAGTCAGACCATTTCTTGGCTGAACTAGCCAATAAATTTCCGGTAAAAAAAAAAAAGTCATATATCTGATAACACTGTGTAAACATGACCGATGCTGTTTTAACATTTATCTCCACAAAGCCTATCTCCCCCAGGGGAGAAAAACAACGGAATTGCTCAGATAATTGTGGACATAGAGCAGGCTATATTATTAACTCATTCACAGTATGGTCGAAAGAAGCACTTTAGAAGTTAATTAAATGGGGGGCGCCTGGGTGGCTCAGTTGGTTAAGCGACTGCCTTCGGCTCAGGTCATGATCCTGGAGTCCCGGGATCGAGTCCCGCATCGGGCTCCCTGCTTGGCAGGGAGTCTGCTTCTCCCTCTGACACTCCTCCCTCTCATGCTCTCTGTCTCTCATTCTCTCTCTCGCAAATAAATAAATAAAATCTTTAAAAAAAAAAAAAGAAGTTAATTAAATGGGATGGGATGCTCATGATTTAAACTTCCATCTACAAATGTTTGCTTGAAGAAGTGTAGAGTTGTAAAGAGTTTATCATTTACCACACATTTGCTCTTGCAGGTGCCCTTGCTCCCTCCCTTTACCGCAACGCCTAACATGGAGGGACTCACGGAGCGAGCGCACAGATACCTGGCCTCCGTTAAAAGAGATATCCAGTCGAAACCACTCCTTCAGAGGCATGGTGAATTTCGTTTTCACAGCAAGGTCTTCTCCTTTGACGAGATGCATTTGGATATGCAAGTGGCCTACAAGGAAAAGTAAAGCTCGTGAAAAACGACAAAAAAATACTGAGGACGGGGGCGCCTGGGTGGCTCAGTCGTTAAGCGTCTGCCTTTGGCTCGGGTCATGATCCCAGGGTCCTGGGATCGAGCCCCGCATCGGGGTCCCTGCTCGGCGGGAAGCCTGCTTCTCCCTCTCCCACTCCCCCTGCTTGTGTTCCCTCTCTCGCTGTCTCTCTCTCTCTGTGTCAAATAAATAAATAAAATCTTAAAAAAAAAAAAATACTGAGGACGGCATGATGTGACTGCACCTTTCTGACAATTGTCCTAAGGAGCTCTCCGACCAGAACGTGTGCCTTCTCCCTACAAACAAGAAAAAAGCAAGCAAAAGAACGCACAAGTGGATTCCTTCCTAAAGAAGACATGTGTTTTAAGCTTCCAGGGGGAAAAAAAAAGGAAAAAAGAAAAGTTGAAAAGAATCCGTATTTAAAAATCATTGCTCTCACTGAACTGCCACGTTGACGGTATCTTTCTTAATTCCAGACATATCTGCCAAGGGAGCACAAGAAAACTACCATATCATTTTAAAGGTTCCGTTTCATACTTACCCTCTTCAGTGAGAAATATAGATGGTGTGCCGTACATCTCATTAGAATCAACAAAGTACAGAATCCCACAGAGATTGGCCTTGCAATAATGGAGTAAATAAAGCCACAATGAAACAGTAAACCTACAAGAGTGAGGAGAAAGAAAAAAATCTGCAGATTGATATCATCCAAGAACAGATAATTATAGTTGACAATGACCAAGTAAATTGCTTTCTTTCCAACGAAGGGATGAATTTGCCTTCCTGTTCATCATGGGAGATCAGCTTGCAAAGCTTGATTTTTGAGACAAAGGAGGTAGTTACAGTAACTGTGAAAGACAGGAGTTAAGAATCATTGTACAAAACTAGCAGACATTGTATCTTGCATCAAAAACTCTGTTTCTGTGCCTCTTGGAGAATCTCACATGCCTGCCATTTGAATTCTTGATTAGGGTTTAGGAAGCCAGACATAAAATAAAAATCTGGATTTTAATAAGAGGTGATTTGATAAGAAGCTATTCTAATTTCAATGATTAAAAGAAAAAAAACATAATTAGGGCTTTTTGAGCAATTTTGTTTCCTTCCAAGATAAAAGCCTTAAGGTAGAAAAGTGTCGTAATCTGTAAATGGCATTGCTATATGTTAATTGGGACACGTAGATACTATTTTAATGCACACATTAGATTGTTCAGGATCACAGTTCCGTCTGACCCATATGGAACAACTAATCTAATTGTTCCATTTCTGGACCGGGGCTATTTTAGTTGAAAAAAGTATTGTACATCTGTGATTTGTGGGCTGAGAATAAAATAACAGTAGTCAACTAGGACACATTTAGCCAAGATGTGAGATCCATCCATCACTCAGCAAATATTTGCTGAACGCTTGCTCGATGCCACCCATTGTGTTAGTGACCAGCAGTTCCAAGATGGGGAACTGGGAGTAACTGCATTTTGCAGGTCAAACAGGAATCAAGGTCAAAACAAATGTACCGAGTTCTCGCCATGACTCCAGTAAGCAATTCACAGTTTGGGTTAATGTGGCCATGGCCCCGAGTTCTTCCGGGAGATATCCAAACAAGTCCTTTAGAATCTTCTGGGCTTTCTAATCTGGCCTCAGAATCAGTTGGTGAGATATGCAAACAGATGGTGTCACACAACTCCCTCCTGACCCACCCAGCTGAGCAAGCTCATGAAGATAAGTTATTACAAGGAAGCTTAGCAAGAACATACGCTCAGTAAAGTGAGTCAAGATCTTTCTACAGCCAGCAGCATGGGAAGAATTAAATCACTCTGCTAAATCCATCCAGTCTGAGGTGAACCAGGAACTGTTTTCAGCATCTTCAATTCAGTAGAAGGAAAAAAATATATCTGGGTTTTGCTGAAATCAATGGAGGAGATCAGAAGTTGTGAGATTTCAAGCAGCTCATCCAATCTTTCAAGACCGAAAAAGCAAAGCAAAAGCAGCGGTGTGCATTGGCTACGGCTGGCTGCACCCCAAAGCTTGCAAGGCCTCAGGCTCCCACACCTTGCTCCCCTGCTCGTGACATTCCTGGGACCAGCACAGAAAGTCCAAGGCCAACTGAGGACTGCTAATGGCAAGAATAATTCGAGAACGCTTTGGACCACAAATTCTGTCTAAGCGGAGTGGATCTCCACATTTTCCCGTAGCATATCACCATGGTGTGTCCTCCTAAGGGATTCCACGAGCCTGTCCTGGTCTTCAGATTAAACAGAGTACTGCCCCACCAGCCCCTGTCATCTGCCCATTCTTACACTGGGTAATCTATCCGCTGGCGTCGGGTGGCCTCCAGCTCTCGGTTGTGAAACCTTGGGAACTTCTTCACAATGCCTGTGTTTTCTCCACTGGAGGCATAGAGAAAGCCCAGGAGGGTGACCACATCTGCGAACAGCAAGAACACCTGCCTTTCAATTATCTCCAGAAAAGCAATGCTTCCCCAATCACATTCTTCCTGGAACCCTCTCCCCATCTCCAATCAAACAGTTACAAGAAAGCATCTGAAAATATCAGCAAACGTTTATTGAACACCGATTATATGCTGGGCGCCTGCTAAGCCCTTTACAGAGAGCTGTCTCAATTTGTGTTCACAGCAACCCCGTAAAGGAGATTGTAGTATGAGTCCCAATCTACAGATGAAAAGCCCGAGGCATAGAGGTAAGATAACTCACCTAAGGTCACAGCTAATAAGAGGTAGAGCCAGATTTGATATTCAGGCTCGGGTTCTAGGTTCTTAACCATTTCACCTGCTGCCCTCCCAGTGCTAAGGAAAACATTTGGAATTTGTGCGACAATAGTAACAGTTATCACGTGAGTAGCCCTGGATCCCATCCACACTGCTGTGAATAGGCCTATATCTCATTTAGCTAGCTAGCTACCTACAGAAATTCATTTAATCCTCATTATTATCCCCATTCTGCAGATGAGGAAATGGAGGCACAGCTGCCCAAATGGTAGCTAACGTTGATATAACACAGAATGTGCCAGGCAATGTGCTAAGAATACCATTCCAGGAGCGATCTCATTTAATTTCACAACTGTCTATCAAACGGGTGTTATTATTATGCCCATTCAACAAATGAGAAAACTGAGCCCTAGAGAGGACTGCATAGTAAGAGGTGGAGCTGGGACTCAAACTCAGGCAGTTTGGTTTCAGAATCCATGCGCTTAGAAGTGCACAGGTTTTTTTCTTCTGTGCAGACTTTCCAATACACTCCACACATTACTCTATGCAAAAATGACCTACCAAACCCCTTAAAACTAGGGAGCCTTTCTCTTTATTTTGCAAATGTGGGAGAATTCTGTGGCTCTAGAGAAGATGGGGTGTCCTTAACAAGTCTTAAAAGGAGAACTGCATTATCTCATCTATATTTAATACCTACTGCTTTAAATGAGGCCACAATAATTTTTTTTTATTTTCCATACCCATCCCTCCCTTGGAAGGAAAAAAAAAAATCACTGAATTCAACTGAAGAATAAAGAACTCTTTTCTCTTTCTTAAAATGCTCTTATGTCTGTGATTAAATGGTGGAAATCATCTATTTTGCTGGACTTCCTGGAAAGGGAAGAGTTAACTTCTAAGCAAGTCATCAAATGCCTCTATTGGTACAAATTATGGGAGCCTCAGCCTGGGCTATTGGAGACCCCAGCTCTCATTCCTCAATGGAGAGAAGTATCTTATTACAGAGAGACAGGTACCTCTGGTTCATTAAAACTTAGAAATCACAAGAGCAAAGTGTTCATAATCTCAGACCCCTATCAGTATATCTAATAGAATTAAATAATATAGAGCCAAATTGTCCCCAGTGTCCACAAATCTCCTTGTTTGGTGAGAGGTAGAGAGGCATTTGAAGACTCAGAAGGATAGAGTTATCAATTCCAACAGAAACAATGCAAACTTTTTTTTTTTCTTAACAACTTGACCTCAATTTGGGGACACTAGTCTTGCTGGTCTATTATAGGGATGGGTAGGGGGACTGGAAATGGAAATACTGCAGGGGTGCCTTTGGAATCCAGGGAGAGAATCGCCAAGCGGTTGCTGTCGGCCCAACCTTGGTTTGGCTTCCACTGTGTGGAGTGGAACATAAAAGACCAGATGGCCACGTTAGCCCCCTAGGAGGCCTTCTGCTGGTGATTGCTATTGAGTTACCTAGTGTGCAGTAGAAACATTTATCAAAAGGAGCAGGATTTGATTCTGTCCAACCTGACTCCAGTAAAAGGAGGCTTCATAAAGAGGTTTCCAAAGTGAAAGGAGTTAAAAGTCAATGCTGATGAGCCTCTCCTTTATCCAGGGATCAAAGTAAAGTGGGTTGAGCTGGAGAACTTGCAGCGAAAGATGTGGAAGGAAAAAAAGTCTAAGACCAAAAGATCTAAAATAAATTTTACAAAAACACATACCTTTTGTACCCAACAAAACCAAAGCGATGGCGGCTTTCTTGTAAAATCTGCAGCTTGAATAGTTCTATGATTTGGAGTTCTACTGCAATTTTTCCTTCAGTATAATATTGCCTTCCCATTTACTTAGAAATAATAAGAATGAACTTTCGGAGCCCGAAAAGGATGTTAGAATTCAGCTAGCCCAGGATAACACACAGGCTTGTTTTCTATTAAGTGATTGTGGCTGCTTGGAGCACCATGCTTGATTAGCGATGGCTGTCGTGGACACCAGAATGGGGGGTAACACCACCAGTATCATTCTCCATGAAAAAATTTACAGGTTGGAAAACTTAAGTCCAAAGTGCTTAAGAGACTTGCCCAGTTTCCTCTAGCATGTAAGTCCCAAGAGAACAGGGACACTGCCTCAATCATTACCCCATCCCTAGAGCCCATAACAGTGCCCAACACTTGACAGAAGCTCCATAAATATTGAGGGAATGAATGAATGAATGAATGAACGAACGAACGAACGAACGAACAAACAAATGGGCACAGTATGGCCAAGTCAGGATCTGAACCTGCCTCTCTCTTGCTCAACTCTTTTCACAGTTCTGTAATGCGTCCTATGCTGCCCAAATCAGATCACAGTCTCTCTTCCTTCAGACCCTTCCCCCAAATCCGTTTCTCTGGCTGATCTTGAATGAAGAAGCTAGGTAGGAAAAAGGCATCATTACAACAAACAAAATACCAGGAAGGCAGTTCAGATTTAGAACCCACCACCTTGACTGTTTTGCTTGTTTTATTTCCTCAAATTTTATAGCAAGAAGAGGCATTAGATTTTGTATGGCAAAAACTCCTTCATTTGGAGACAAGAAAAATGGGTTTCACCGAAGGTTGCATGGTTAATAAGAGATTCAGGTATGACTCAAAGCTGGTCTCCCGCTATAAACCGATGGACTTCTTATTAAACCACATCACATCTCACAGGTCTTCCCAAAGAGATGGGTGCTGCCTTGACCCTCCAGGACCCCACCCCCACTACCTATCCAGACTCTCCTTCAGGGTAGAGCTTGGCTCAGCAAGGGCCTCCTGGACCATCCTGCTTCAGTACAACGGCTAGCGCCTACGGAGCCTGACCAGGAGACCCTGTCTAATATTGGTTGTTAAGTACTTTGAACATCACCTCCGAGCAGGGTGGCTGGGGTCGGTCATGTAGCCCATTCTCCAGGTCAGCAGAGTGATCAGAGCCCTGACATGGATACCTGCTCTGGACACAGTCCCACATCCATGTAACAAAACCCTACTTGGGACGTGCTTCAAACACAACCACAACGGTGCAGCTGAGACCTCAGCCCATTTGTGGAGGAGAGACAGTCTTGAGGCAAAAAGTAACTGACTATAAAAACAGGAGGAAAAGAAGCTAAGATGTTCCAACCTGGAGAAGGAAAGCTAAAGTGCAGGTAACTCAACAGTGGTTTCCAAATGCAAGACATTAAAAGGCAGGAGTGTTCGGGTGTTTCATTTTCTTTAAAACCAAAGCCTGAGAACTAAAACTCAATTTTCTAGCAAGTATGATTTAGGTCAGAACTTCCCCAAAGGATACCAGGCAGTGAAGTGGGCGAGTAAGGAAGTTAGTGGAATATTCAATAGTAGGAGTGCTAAGAATAAAATAAATTTCACTCCCAGGAATTTATCCTGTGAACATACTTGTAGGTGTGTACAAAGATACGTGTGCAGGGATGTTTGGTGAAACCTTGTTGCTAATAGTAAAAGACTAGAAATGACCTGCATGACCATCAGCAGGGGACAGGTGAAATAAATTATGGGCTGTCCGGCAACAGTATGCTAAGCAGCTACTGAAAAGAATGAGGTCGTGTAGCATACACTGCTATAGAAAAATCTCTGTCGTATTGTTAATGAGTGCGGGACAGAGTTTGTAGTGTCTTCCCATGTGTGTGTGAAGAGGGGGGCTCTCAACTTAAAGCTTATAGGAGCAAAGAACATTTCTGGAAAGAGACACAAGAAACTAGTGTGAGTGAGTTTGCCTCTAGGAAAAGGACAAGAACACAGGGTGGGTGGGAGCTTGCTCTTCCTCCAATCCCTTTTACACTATATGAATTTCTTTTACCAGGTACATATATTCCTTTTTAGGCTAAAAAAGCAGAGAACAAAGTCTGAGCACTCCCGTGCAGGCCGGGAGCTGGGGCCAGCCACATTCAGAGGCCTCCGTGCCCTGGGCCTCTGCGGCTATTCAATCTGCTTCAAAGAGGCAAAGTCCAGTGGGTGAGGAAAACAGGATGATTCACATCAGTAAAAATTCAACTTAAAAAAAGAGTATTCCTTTCTAATTTAAAACCTGGGTTAGGGCTGTATTAGCATATTTCAGAGAGGCGGCATAGCAAAGCTTGGACTCCCGTGAAACAAGCTGAGCCTTGGTTTTTCTCCCCTGAAAAGAAAGGATGAGAATAATACTCTTTCCCATGGGACTATTACGAGGATTAAATGAGACAATGTGCATGGAAAAAGTGTTCTGAAAATCATAAAGGGCCACGCAGATGCGAGGCATTAATTGGTGTTATTACTGAGAAATTCAGACCACCATGATTAACTGGAGGGGAAAAAAAGAACTAAGTCTCTATCTCTCTCTCTTTTAATAAAGTGCCAAATATATAGTTCTCATAGTTATAAACAGTATCATCATGTCATTAACTTAAATAGTCTCACTGCATCAACTGGTATTTCCACAGAGACAGGTAAAGCCTGGCTCCCCTATCTGACTTAGCCCTTCCATGACTTTGTTGTAATGGAATTTTGTTATAAGAAATCATACTTCTAATCCATTGGATCTGAAGATGAGAACAGATTTTTGGTGAAAGGAAGAGAGTGGGAAAGAAGGAAGCTGCCATGTTCCCCAGTTTCTGAAGTAAGCGGCAAGATCAGAAAAATGTTCATATAGATGGACAGCAGGCCAGAATGTTTAATACACTTCAGCATGGCACTTCAGAGTC